AGATGTTGTTATAAGGAGAGTATCCTTTGGTTTAGATCTGCGATTTGAATTTTAAGATCTATCATATTTGTTTCTATAGCTTTGACTAAGCTACTTAAACCTTGATATGTAAATTATGAAAATTTAACAGGTTTTGTAGGAAATGAAAGGGAATCATGGTCCTCTCCCCCCTTGAAAAACTTGTTTGGTTTGGTTACCAAACAAATGACATAAATTGTTAACTAGTAACAAGGTAATACCGGAGACAGTATTAAGATTATTTAAATGGTGCAGACAACCACTAATACCAAATCCATCTGTATACAAGAATGGTGGAGGATTTCGAGCAACATGTTGGATTTTAAGACCAACATATTTTTTCTGAAAATAGATATGGGGATTATCCCTAAAGGGTCCACTTATGATATTTAAGAAATATCAAGACTAAGATGTCTAATTCTGTGACTGATATCACGAACATCTGAGGGTGGTGGTAAATCACTCATTCGGGCTTGTACTCTGGCTAGAGCTCTATTTCCACCAGAAAATATTGTTCAAAATCTAAATTTTGACCAAAAAACAATGGGGGAAGGGATATGTACAATTTCCCAACCTACTACAAATTTATTACTCACTTTAATAAATTTATCCACCATAGAAGATAAACTTAAAAGTGTGTGTAATGATAACCCTTTAGATTGCCGAATCTCTAAAGGAAAAATGACAGCTAGTATACAGCTGAAAGACTCGAAGATGACAATCAAAGTGCCACCTATGCAATACACTCCAGACGATAGAGAAAAGTTTGAACGTCAAATCAAAGAATTATTAGATGCTCATCTAATAGAACCAAGTAAATCCCCACACTTTACCCCAGCTTTTCTAGTCAATAAGCACTCAGAGCAAAAGCGTGGAAACAGATGAATGGTCATCAATTATAAAAAGTTGAATGACAATACAAAAGGTGATGGATACCTATTACCAAGGAAAGATGAACTATTGGACCAAGTCCGTGGTAAAAAGATATTCTCCTCTTTTGATTGCAAAAGTGGATTCTGGCAGGTGCTTTTGAATGATAGTTCACAAGAACTGACAGCCTTCACATGCCCACAAGAACATTATCCGTGGAAGGTAATGTCTTTTGGCTTAAAACAAGCTTCATCTATCTTTCAAAGGCACATGAATGAGACTTTTAAAGGATTTGAAAAGTTTTGTCGATTCTATATCGATGACATTATTGTATTCTCTGATAATAATCAGGAACATATAACACATATCAAAAAAGTATTAGACAGGTGTAAAGAAGTAGGATTAATTCTCTTAGAGCCAAAAGCTCAATTATTCAAAGAGTCTATCTCTTTTCTAAGATTAGTAATTGATAAAGAACAATTACAATTACAAAAACATATAGATGAACATATAATAGCCTTTAATAATAATATAACTGATAAAACTCAGTTACAAAGATTTTTAGATATATTAAATTATATCTCATTCTTTTTCCCTAAAGTCGCACAGATAAAATAACCTTTACAGGCAAAACTCAAAATTGACACTATTTGGCGGTGGACAGAACAAGATACAGCTTATGTTGAAAAAACAAAAAAAGCCACAAAAAATTTACCTCCTATACATCACCCCAAACAGGATGAACCATTTATTGTGGAAACAGATGCCTCAGATTTACATCGGGGTGGAATTTTAACGGCCAAATAAATGGACGGCTTAGAATTAATATGTGGCTATGCAAGTGGCACATTCAAACCAGCTAAGAAAAATTATCACAACAATGAAAAAGAGATTCTTGCTCTTATAAATACCATCAAGAGGTTTCAAGTATATCTCATTCCAGTTTCTTTCATAACAAGAACAGATAACAAAAACGTGTTTTACTTCTTGAACACTAATATTCATGGCTCTTATAAACAGGGCAAATTAGTTCGTTAGCAACTGTGGTTGTAATATTTCAATATAACCTTTAAACACGTTTAAGGGATTAACAATATTTTTTTAGATACTTATTCTCGAGAATTTGCAAAATAATGTCAATCCAAGAGTTGACTAAAGAAATCAAGCAGATTGATATGAAGATCATCAGAGCAAAGCACGTGATGACAGAAAAGAACCTGAAGATAAAAAGACTTCAATTTAAAAGAAGCAAATTGATGTCAAAGATAGATGTCAAATCCCAAGGTGTAGAGAATCTTCTCTAAAGATTCCAGATCAAAATGGCAGAAAGTCAGTCAGGAAAAGAGTGGACTTCCTTCATAGGAACCTTCCACCTCCAAACAAGAGGATGAAAAGACCTCTGAAGAAAAACTACTAGTGGTAGTCCCAACTGCAACATCTCAGGCTGTAGAAGAAAAATTAGCAGAACCTCCTATCAAATATTATATCATTTTTAATGGTCCAAATGCAGGTTGTTACATAGATTGGCACATAGTCCATTCCCTCGTAATAGGTAAACCTTATTTCTATAAAGGATTTCCATCTTATGAAACTGCGAGAAAAGCTTTTATTGACTATTGCACACAAACACTCCTTTGTTTGAAACACCAAAACTCATAACTCCTTCTGAGTTATTAAAACCTCAAGTTTCCAAACTCCCTACTACTCCTATAGTAGAAAGAACCTCATAAAGTTACCAGTCCTGATGAACATAATTTCATAAGTCTTGAGATTTTTGTCCATTACTTTCGAATTGTTCATTACTTTCGAATTGTTGAAGTTACAACCATTAGCCAAGTGTATTTTATTAGCCAATCCAAAGGTGTTAGAAAATACATCATAGAAGGAGCAGATCCCATGTTTGTTCAAACTTTATTTTATTATGGATTAATTAATGTGATTTATCCCGGTGCAAATTTTGTAGAGATATCCAAACTCCCTACAAGCATATATACAGCCATCAAGCACTATCGGCAGAAAGTGCTCAAAGCAGAAAACAGACTGGTATACGTATCAGTTCAAAGTTCATTCCTTGACTGGCATGAGACAGAAAATGAAATGGATAACCTCCAGAACTATCCTGCATACCATTTCATCAAAGTTGGTATGTTTCGAAGAAGGGATGTCATCCCTTGCACAACTATGAAGGAATTAACTCAGAACCTTCACACAAAACTTCCTAAAATGCAAGCTACCTTGCTTGGACAAATATTAAAAAAGATAATAACCATCTTCAAAGACTCAAAGATCAGAGTAAATTACAAAAGTCCCCGTACTTTTGTATACACAAAAGCCCTAGTACCTATCAATGATCTTGACAGTCAAAAGATTTCCAAGAACAATTCTATGGAAATGATCTTGAAATTTCCATACACACTAAGAGACACTTTTGCAAGTGAACGATAGCAGATCACTAGTGTGATCTTTGCAATAATACCCCGCGGTTTGTAGGACTAGAGGTTACAAAAGATGACAAAACATCCACTGTTTCAGAAGATAGTGCGTCCAACACCAGCATGTGATCACAAACACATTACCATCACGGGATCCCTACCACGATGTAGTAATTATTGTAATAAGATGTGTATTTGATTCCAAGAAGGCTATATAAGGCCAGAGGTTTTCATAGGAACCTCAGATTTTCTTTTGAACATTCTATTAGACTTCCCCAACCTCTATCTTTGTAATCCGACTCTCCTTTGTAAAATTCTCCTTATGGAATAAAGAATGTTTTAAGAACATTTTATTAAGAAAAGCTTTTAGACTTTTAAAAGTAAAATCAAACAGCTTATCTATCGCTTGATAAGTAAGCTAGTACTCTGAATAACACCTGAATAGTAACTAAGACCCGTGAAGAAGAGATGACAAGGGCATTGTCAGTGTTAACGAACGCTGAAAATACACAGGTAAGTCTGTTAAGCATTTTACTATTTTAAATTATTATAGATAATCCAATAAAAAAAATAATTAGACCCCTAAACCAAATAGATAATCCAATAAAAAAAATAATTAGACTCCTAAACCGAATAAATTAAACTAGTACAAAATATTTACAACAGATGATCATTAAATTAAACTAGTACAAAATATTTACGACAGATGATCATTGTCCTAACACTTAAAATTAAAAGTTTAACACCAGAGATTCCCTCTAATAAAGAAGAAGAGTATTTTACTCAACCTTAAAATATAGCATTAAGTTTCAGAATATAGCATTAAGTTTCAGACTTAGAATGTTAAGTAATTTTAAGAAGAAACTCTTAAAATTTATAAATAAAATAGAAAAAGATTCCTATATCCTTCCTTGAATACATTAGATGTATTAAACTTAGATATATCAGACTATTCATCTGATTAAAACAATGTATATTGGCTGGAAACCGGTAACTAATTTTTTTTTAATGTATTTCTAGTATAACATCACCACGTACAAAACAGTAAAAAATTTAGTATCAGAATATATATATTTAGTATCAGATTATATATATATATATCACATTTAACCAAAAACACTAAAACAAGCGGAAAAAATTGAGAAAAAAGTACCACAATTCACATGTATTTCAAAAAACCACAATTAAAAATTACAATATTTAGGAAAATAGTAAAAATAGATTGCTACTCGCCTAAAGCCAAATCCACCATCTTTAAACAAGTTCGAAGTTCACCGACCATCGTCAATTACTTAAACTGGATGTTCTAAGAGCTCTTTTCAATAAATAACCTTTCTCATGTTCAAAGCAGCTATCATTAAAGCTTCGATGCACCCACAATTTCCCAAATATCACAGTTTTCACCTGACAAATTTTAAAACATCGCCCCCGGGGGGGGGGGGGGGGGGGGGGGGGGGGGTTTGGTCCCGCCCGTCTCTTCTATTTCTTCAAGAAATCATAGTGAACGAGGGCCCACGTCATTATCGTTCTGTTCCGTTATTTGAACCATTTCAAGAACATCAATGAGCTTCGAATTTGGTCAGAAATGGTTCCGAGTCATGAAACCAAACAACATTAGGCGAGACCAAATTAAGGACCATCTTTAAACACTAAGAACTTCAGATTGTTCAGAGATAAATCACTCCAAATATCAAGATGCCATACACATGAGAAAAAAAGAAATCTTCTGCAACCATGTATTAACAATATGAAATTCATCTCCTCCGGCAAACGGTAAACAATTAAACATTAACGCAACAAATTACGCAGAGTTATGAAACAATTCAAAACTGATGTAACTGCGTGATAAAATCATAAAGAGCTTTTTTTTTTTCTTACAGGTGGGAGAGAACCGAACCATTGAATAATAACTTGATCACCTAAATCGTTGGCGAAGCATGGACAGCTCAATTGAGAATGTCATGAAGACCTGCTGAGCTAGCACAGCTGAGAGAGTTGAAGGCCATGGTTATGGAAGTCAGGCGGCTCCAAACCACCATCCGAAGGCTAGATCACTTGAAACCCAAAGAACCAAACACCAGAGCCAATTGCAAAGTACAAAACACCAGCATCATCCATGAGCACAGGTTTTACAAGGATATCAAGAGCACAATATTCTAGAATACATAATTGCAACTACAATTATGGTAGTACAAAGGACCTGATTAAGAAAGGAACTAGGATTTCAGATTATCATACGAGCTAGAAAATGAGAAACTAGGTCTAGTGATAAAAATCATGCCCAGGTTAGCCCTGTAAGCAAATCTGACTGCTTCAGTGGCTACAAATATAATATGATTTGCATTTCAAGGCATTTGAAAATGAAATGAACCTGCACTGTCGGGAAAGATTGATGACTAGAGATAGCGGGACGTTAGAAAGAACAGATGCTTGGTGCAAGCAAAAACTCCTGATCGGAGACTTCAGCTATTCCGATAAAAGATCAAAATTAATTTCCAGAATGTGTGGTGTGTGTGGCATTTTTTCCAAGAAGTCTACCATAGGGAACTGCTAATTTCCAAAGCTGAAACAAGTTTTAGATGCGCATCTCTTAGCGATCCCATATTATCTACATAAACATTGGATAGGATCAAAGACCGGTAATCAACGAATAACCCAAGTCACAATCATGATCTCTTGCAAATGACTGATACTAAGTTATGGAAGTATGACTGATTGATTCTAAAAATTAAGGAAATTCGTATTGGAGATGTGAGTGAGAGAATACCTTTCGAGTCAGCCTCACATATTGCAATATTGTGCAATTGATGAACTGGTAGCTAAGCTGGAGTTCCTTGTGAAAGGGCCGCGTGATCTCAGGCAAGGATCGTAAGGCAAAGAGAAGTAAGAGAAAGCAGGACACAGACAGCTGAGGAGAGAACCCGGGCAATTCCCCGTGCGTTCTCCCCTCAAAAACACGAAAATAATAGTTTTATTAAGATGATGGGTGACCTGCCATGCAAGCGCACCTGTCATGGCAAAGGTCGGACGACAAAGATAATAAACAAGACCTCTCAGCCTCCTGGCCTTCTAGTCCCGATATATATATCTTATACATCATCCTCGTAAATAAACCACACAACTCCACCCCCTATCTCCTTCCATCACTCCTTAATCAATCAACAAAATCACAGCCCACGGTCACATCATCAAGCAACACTCTGTAATTGCTCTATCGCCCCCACCTTCAAATGAAATCTCGGATCATCTGCTGCTCATACACCAACTGGATATATCCTTTGAGAATTAGAGCTTTCGAAACAGAGCTCCGCCGTATCTACAAAACAAAATCAAATTAATAGCTCAATCAATAATCCGGAAACAGAATTTAAATCATCTTTAGCCAAGGAACACGCAATAAAAATACTGATACATACCTCAGGAGCGATCTCCTATCAAATAAGATAACAGACCGCAAAATCACGGTGTTGAACTTCGACCATCAAGTCTGATATCAGGATAAAGATCGCAGAGCGATCTAGCTGAACCTGGAATACAAAAGATCGAAGGGGAATCCATGAAGGGTAGATCTGGGAATACAAGAGCTGAACCAAGAAGGCAAAAAAGGCTGAATGGCGGGTGGGCGACTATATAGAGGCTCTGGGAGAATAGACGGACAGGATTAGTAGGTTAGCTGAATGATTAAGGGCTGAGATTTAGTATACGTGGTTGAGTCCTTACCTTGTTTGAAAACTAGGTGTCGATGAAGAGATGGACGGCACATTTGAGCTGGCGAGATACGGGGTTTGTTTATTTTCGGAAAATTGTTTAGTTTTTTTTTTTTTTTTTAAGTCATTCTGTTGTTTATTTTCGGAAAATTGTTTAGTTTATTTTTTAAAAAAAAAAGTCATTCAGTAAGTTTCATTTCACTTGAGTTCTGTTTGTTCTTTTCCTCAAAAATTTTAATTTATTATAATTTACATCCAACCGATTCATAATATTTTACATCTTTATATACACATAGAAAAAATTATTTATATAATTGTCATTATATTTTATAATCTTCGCAACAATGTTAGATTTGAATCCAAAATCAGTGGCGGCCCATTCTCCTCGCATGTTGTTACTATAACCTAAAAACAATTTGAAAAATTATAGGTTTTTGGTCATGTTGATGTTCGAGGTGTTCATGTTTTTTTTTAGGGATAATTTTGGCTAGGTTCGTCTATAATATTGAAACTCTTTAATTGATTTAGAAACTTTTTAATTGACTTAGTTTATTAATAATTCGGTATAAAATAGTAATAAAGCCATATAATTTTTTTTAACCCTTTAGAAATATTTGAGACTTAATTTGTCAGTAATATTATGGCGTGATGGCGTTAAATGATGAGTTTGCTCTTCACCACTACCTTATAATAAGTGATGGAGGCAAGGGGGCTGACCCCGTATGCAAATGTTTTTTCCAGCCTCTTTCTTATAAATATTTATAATTTAAGTAAAAATAATTAAAATTTGAACTTTTTTAAAATAATTTTTTTAATTTGACCCACCTAATTTTTTATTCTTACTCTGCCCCTACTTGTAATATTACACTACCAATTTAAATGAAATAAAATTAATATTTTATAATTAAAAAAGATTATTAAAGTGATTGGTTTTGATCTTTTATGAAAAAATAACTGCAATTATTTCTCTCTCGACGAAAGAATTTGTCCTTTTTTCAATTTTCTATGGAAAACTCAAAAAGACAACAGAAAAATTGTTCATTTGTTTACCAAGACACCCTACAATAGCAATGCATTGCGCCCAAAAGGAGGGCCTTTCAGCTAAGAGCCCGTTAGCCCTTGATTTGATCTAGCAACGGAACTGCAACATAACAAACATCGTGTAAAATCTTGACATTGTATGGCTTTTTACTCTTTAAGAAAAAGCATGGAAAATGATGTCATTTTAAGATTTTAACCCTGACCCCAACAGTATTTCATAAAAATTATTTTTTTGTTTTTTTACTTAAATTTATGTTTTTATAATTAAAAATAAAATTTTTAAATAATAGTATTTTAATATAGTTAAAAAAACACTATTTAAAAAATAACTAATACAGCGCTAACATAACAACCGCTACCTAAACCTTCAGTGTAATCAAAGCACGTACGATGAATGAGTACCGTTGATTCGTTTATCATCCTTATGTTGAAAGCAATCAAGGGAATATTTGCAGGAATATTTACGTGCACAAGAGCTACAAAACAAATCTGGCAGAAAGAATAGAAAACGCCCTCTAGAGCGTTCTTTAAAACTATTGCACTTCATTTTTTATCAAATTGAATTTTTAAAAAATATAAGTAAAAGATAACCCTGTCAATTAAGTAAATTAAATATTCTATGACCACGTTTTTAAACGCCTTTTAAGTAAATTCTAGACAAAAAGATAAAACAAACAAAAAACAGCAGATAAGAACGAACCACATGAACTAATAAGACCTGGGTGGATTTGAACCACCAACCTCTCAAGACACCATCATTATGGGACTTTGAGCGCTCTTACCATCTTGAGCTTACAGATCTTTTCAAAGTTGAAGACAGGCCTTCCGAAAAACAGCCAGTTACGTTCCTTCCATTTTCCTCTCGTCATTTTTTAATTTTTCCAAAAAATTATATATTAAAATAAAATATTAATTTAATATTTTTGTATATACATAGTAATTTTTTAACATACATCAATTTAGTAATGATTTAATAAGGGCAGCATTTTAATTCTTGTTAGACATAGAAAATTATAAAAATAGTATATTTTTTATTTTTTATTTTTTAAAATTTGAAATTTATTTTTAACACCCGCATGAAAACAATAAAAAACATAAAAAATAATTTAAATTTAAAAATCTTTAAAAACCTCAAAAGGGCTCCTGAAAGTGAAAACCCAAAGGAATGGAGAAATAAGTTTCTTACCAAGCAAGATTGTAGCAGTATAGAGATCTTTGATTTCAAGATGAAACATGAACACCATAATTAATGACATTTTTATACGGCGCTTGAATAAAAGAAAACATTAGGTAAAAGATGGCAATCACCCACCCCTTGCTTTTGACAAAATGTTTAAGAAGTGATCTCCATGCCATTGAAATCCTAACCATTAACCATGATTTAACGGTTGCAGTTACAAGCACTTTCAACACCAAGACCACAGCTCGTCATCAACCCACCTAGGAAAGAAGAAAAATTATTGTGGAACCAACATCTTGGGGATATATAAGATAAAAGTGAATTTACACAAATGATTTCTCGAACACCTGTAAGATAATCGTGGTTTAAGAAACGCAATTCTTGACTGGCTTACAAGATTATCAGGATCGAGATTGTAAACCTGACAAACAAGGAAAGAAAGAAGATAACGATCCTGTAAAATCTTTGGACATAATACATAATTCCAGTAAATGCTTCAAAAAGAAAGACCGCTTTCTTCTTCAAATCGATCAAAGGAAAGATAATTCCACACATTTTCAACAAAACGGCTACGTCCAGAGAGCAAAAACATAAAGCTATGGCAAGAAAACACCGTCAAATAAAAAATCTCGCACTAATGTCAAAGCTTAAGAAAACAAGGCATTTCCGGCTTCCAAACACTATAGCATTATGACGACTAGAACGTAGTCTGTGACTAATATATCAATGTCCAGCTGCAAATTGCATTAAAACAACGCAAATCTTGAACCATTGAGAAAAACTTGATCACCTCAATAGCTCATTTAGCGTGATGCAGCTTCATAAAGAATGTTGCGTAGGGTCCTGCGCTCTCTTTTTCCCTAAATGCCATGATCATTGAAGTCGAGCAGCCCAACAATCATCCAATGGGGTCTACAGATCCCATCTTCAATACCACAATCTTCAGGCTACATCACTTAGATCCAAGGAACCAAACAACAGGAGCCATTTGCAAATAACAATACAGAGTAGAGAAACTTGGAAACAGCTCCAAGGTAAGGATATCACAGGGCACAATATTCTCTAATTTACATACTCGAAAGCCAGATCTTAATTGCAAATAACGAATGCAAAGCTGTTTATACAATAGTTTTGCACGGGATAACAAGAAAAGGAAACGGATGAACTAGATCCAGAAAACAAACCTCACGCCCATGGTTGGTTTGCAAGAATCAAAGATATGCTTAGGTTGCGTTTGCAGTGGTCGCGTTGTTAATGAAATAAACTTGATTGTTACCACGCAAGAACGGGTGGTTGTAATGAGCAAGTGCTTTCGTGTTTTAGTCTATTAGAGACTACAAAACGACCCCTGATACATCAAACCTAAGATTCAGTACCTCTTAGTTTTGGTGGCTATATAGTAACTGCCAATCTTGCGTTGACACCAGTTTTGGTTGCATTATCTTGCTAGCCCACTGTATCAAAGATTTATATTTGACGGGGCGAAATATCCGATAAGAAAAGAAAAACAGATTGCAATGATAATGATATAAAAAACAATAAGATTCCTTCTTTCTTTTTTTGTTTGTTCTAAGTTTTGGAAATATGACAAATGAGAAATTCGTATTGGAGTTATAAAAGAGAGAATACCTTGGAGTCTGCTTCACAAAATTGCAACCTCGTGCAGTAGATGTGAATTGATTGCTAAGCTGGAGTTGGAGGGCCTCGTGAAAGGGCAGCGCGATCTCAGGCAAGGATCGTAAGTCAAAGAGAAGTAAGAGAAAGCAGGACACGGACAGCTGAGGGGAGAACCCGGGCAATTCCCCGTGCGTTCTCCCCTCAAAAACACGAAAATAATAGTTTTATTAAGATGATGGGTGACCTGCCATGCAAGCGCACCTGTCATGGCAAAGGTCGGACGACAGATAATAAACAAGACCTCTCAGCCTCCTGGCCTTTTGGTCCCGATATATGTATCTCATACATCATCCTCATAAATAAAACACACAGCCACACCCCTTATCTCCTTTCATCACTCCTCAATCAATCAACAAATCACAGCTCAGGTTACATGGTCAAGCAATCGAGATTCTGTAACTGCTTATCGCTCCACCTTCAAATGAAATCTCGAGTCATCTTCTGCTCACACACCGACGGGATATATCCCTTGAACATTAGAGCTATAGAAACAGATCTCCGCTGCATCTACAAAAAAAAAGATCAAATTAATAGCTTAATCAATAATTCGGAAGCAAAGTTTAAATCAGTTTTACAAAGGAAAACATAAGAAAAATACTGATACGTACATCAATCTCCGATCACACCAGATAGCAGACCGTTAAATCATAGAGTTGAGGCATCGGATGAGATTCGAATATCAAATCTGATATCAAGATAAAGATCGCAAAGCAATCCAGGCGCAGGCGAAGCTAGAATCGAAAAGATCGAAGGAGGTACCATGGAGAGTGGATCTAGGAATATTAGGGCTTAGCTGATAAGGCAGATAGAGAATGAAGGGCGGGTGTGTGCCTATATAGAAGATCTGGGAGGATAGACGGACAGGATTGGTAGTTGAGTTGAATGATTGAGGGCTGAGATTTAGTTTACGTGGTTGAGCGGTTGCCTTGCTTAAAAAGTAGGTGGCGATGAAGGTACGAGCTGGCAAGATAATGACCTGGTCATTTTCGTAATAATTACGCTGGTTAAGAGTGTGTCGGCTGTGCTAACCATTGATTTTATGTTAAAATATATATTAATAATATTTTTTTAATTTTTAAAAATTATTTTTAACATTAATAAATTAAAATAATATAAAATATAAATTATATTAGATTTTAATAAAAATAAAAAATAAATTCTTTTTAAATATTTTAGAAACACAGATTTAACAACATTCGCCTTTCAATTTGTTTCTATTTAGAATTATATTGGATGTAATTTAAAATATTTACTTTTTATAAATATATTAAAAAAATTATTTTTAAAAATTATTTTTAATATTGATATATTAAATTAATCTAAAAATTAAAAAAATTAAAAAAATTTGAAAACACAATTTGCATGACATTTTTAAATGGTGCAAACAACTTTCATTTAAAATTTAAAAAACAAATTAAAATTATTTTATTAATGTTTTTCAATTATTTTAACTTTTTATATTAAAAATAAAAAAATATTTTGATATATAAATATGTTAATTCAGATTATTATAACAGTCTATATTAAAAAATAAAAATAATATTTTAATTTATTTATAAAAAAATATTTTAAAAAATAATTCCGCAGCTACAACATTAAGAAAATTAGATTGATTGATGTACGCATGTGATTTTGTGACTTTCTTTGTAATTTTACTTCACATTTCTGATTTTTGTGATCGTCACTCATAACAAGAGTGGATTACAAGTGTATGGCTAAATTTTTTTCAACATAAACAAATTAAAAATAATTTTAAAAATCTTTATAAAATTTGATGATGTTTTTATTTTTATTCTATAAATCACGCTTTAAATTTCATATCAAACAAAAATCTAAAATAAAATTATCTTGATATATAATACACGATATACCCACATTCAACGCTCTCTCTGTCTCTCACAAAACTCACGAGATCTCCCTGAAAATATGAAAACAAAATTCACTCTCTATTGTTTGATATTTGTTAAATTCAATTCTGCCAGCACGCCCTCTTCCACGTCTACCTGCAACTTTTGGCTTCTCTCGCTGGTTCAGAAGACAACTCGCTGGTTGAGAAGACAAAACCCTCCTATCTGCAACCATGTCAATGGCATAATTATTTGCTAGCCTGCTTGTGGCTGTTTAAATCTTATGATATGAACACATTTATAAGATTATTTTCTGCCGCATCATGGGGGTTATGAGCAGCATGCATTAAAGTCTTAAGTTTGGAGAGGGTGTTCAGAGCACGGGATTAAAGTCTTAAGTTTGGAGAGGGTGTTCAGAGCACGGGTAATTGTTATTTTTTAAAATATTTTTTATTTAAAATATATTAAAATAAAATATTTTTATTTTTAAAATATTATTTTTAATATTAACATATTAAAAAATATAAAAATAAATAATTTTTTTTATAAAATAGGATTTGCATCACATTCATGAATGGCATGGTACTCTCATCATGTTGTCGCTAACCAGATCTGTGAAGATGTTCACCACAAGGAAGAAGATCCAGAAAAACAAGGACTCAGTACGGCCCATTGGGCTATGTATGAATCATTTTTTGTGAATGCTCATATTGGCGGATCCCACAGTATAGTCCACCACCGTATTATTTCAAATATCATACGAAACTTGTAAACATTAGGTTAGAACAAATCCATGTTTTTGATGGGGACTTTTTCTTTTTATCTTTTCTTAGTAATTTTTCTTATAAAATAACATCACCGAGTACATGAACGACAATGCGCTCACCCTAGGATTCTTTCTTCTTCTACAACTTTTTTTTTGTGTTCATTTTGTGAATCTGTTAGTTTTTTTTTTTTTTATTAACGTGGGTGTCCGGGCAGCTAACGACCATGTAAACCTCCAGTGGCCATCATATGAGCAACCAAGGACTCGAACCTGAGACCACAAAGGGAGCAAACCCCTTAGTTCCAAGTCTTTACCACTTGGCCACCACCTAAATAGCTATGAACCTGTTAATTTTAGACCATTTGGCCACCACCTAGATGGTTATGAACCTGTTAATTTTGGTTTTACCTTTGGTTGTGAGAGAGGTTTCTATCTCATATATGGATATACTTGTATAAAGATGTCGATTTGTTTTGCTGGGGACGAGGACGATAATCGTAGATCTAGGGGTGTAACGGTTAAATCACAGTTAAAATAAAATAATTAAAAATTAATTCATGTTGAGATCACATTGAAATTTATATTTGCTTGTTTACTACAAAATAATTTAAAAATAATAAATTTATAAAAAATGAAATATTTTTTTATATTTGATAGTATTATAAAAAATAAATTCAAAAATATTTTCTAGTATTTGATTATTTTATGAAAAATAAACTAGAAAATAAATTATTAATATTTTTTATAAATTTATTGAAATAATAAGAAACAAATTTTATAAATTTAAAAGTTAAATGGAAAAAATTTAAAAAAAATAATTCTATAAATTATCTCAAATAAAATAAATAAAAAATCAAATAATATAAATCATAAATTTAAAAGTTAAATGGAAAAAATTAAAAAAAAATTCTATAAATTATCTCAAATAAAATAAATAATAAAAAAATAATGATGATCAAATCTGATGGATAAAAATTTTAATTAAAAAATAATAATAAAAAAATAATGATGATCAAATCTCATGGATAAAAATTTTAATTAAAAAGTAATAATAGAAAAATAAATAACAACCATAAAAATAAGGGTTAAAATTGATATAAAAATCAAATTAAATTAAATTTTAAAAAATAAAATTAAACAAAAAATCAAAATAAAATATATAATAAAATAAAATTAAGAATCAAATTTGATATAATTAGTAAATAACATTATATTTTTAATTTTTTCACAATTTATAAAAAATATTTTCCATTTAAAATTAAAAAAATAAAACTAAATCAAAAAAAAATTAATTAAAAATCTTTTTTTTACCAATTTTTTAAATAAATACAGGAAAATTTATAAAAATATTTATAAAAAAATATTTTTCATTTGACAGTGCCTAGGGATGCATCAAGTTGGAGAAAATTCTTGAGGCAAAAAAGTCTCGATGACCGTACAAATTGTTGAAGCAAAGACGGGGAAAACAATGCTCGTGATATCCTATCCCAACTAACTATCCATTAATTTGACCATTGGGTGCATATAAAAATTCTCATAGCAGCATTAAGAGACAATGCCGACGTTAAAACAAACGCTTAGTGCTAACAACCACGTCATGTGGATTATCCACAAAATGGAGGAAAAAAAATATTGCCAGCTCATCCTCAAAAAATTGACAAGCATCACCGTTCCGTGACAAGAGATTGCTTAGTATTGTAGTGTCGATTGCCTATTAAAATATTTTTTATTTAAAAATATATTAAATTGAATTAAAAAATTATTTTAAAAAACACTTTTAAAATAAAAAACAATTATTTAATTAATTCCCTAATTTACGTGCCAGCCAAAATCAAAAGGCACGGGACTTAAATTTATACAAGAAACCAAAATTTATAAGACTAGCTAGCTATATAAAAACAACAATTTACAACTGCAATCACCAGCCAAGATTGAAAACAAACCCATTTTCATCATCTGGGTTCTCATTGGACTTGTCCTTTTGCTCGCCCTCCGGCACCCCAGCCTTTGTCGCGACCTGCCTGAAACGGACCCCGTAAGTTTTCTTGCCACGTTGTTTTGTGGGAGATAAGAAAATATATGGTGTGGACAAGTTGACTTGTCTAATTGCGTGGTTCTTCGCATTTTTAGAAATCGTTCCTTATGTTACTAATAATGTGTTTAGTATGATAATAGCTATTATAGTTATAATTTTAAAAAAATTATTTTATAAAATATATTTTTAACTGAAATTAGTTTTAAAAAATAGATATTTGATTAAAATTATAATTAAAATTGAGGTTGAAAAAAATAGTTTTAATGTATTTGGTTAAAAAAATACTTTTTAAATTGAGATTATAAAATAATTAAAAATATATATGTATATATATATATATTAATGATTTTTAATTTAAATATTGTAGATT